TCCTCCCCAGCCCCTGAAGCTGGTCTCCCATGCCCTGCTCGTGGAGACTTCCTTCCATGGGCCATCTCCCCGTCTCCACGGCTTCTGCATGGCCAGGCCGGCACACCGTGCTCTGTGCTGGTAAGTAGACCTCTCCCGCCTTCTTGAAACCTTCATTCATTGGCTTCTGAGCACTGATTTTCTTGGTTTTCTTCCAACCTCACTGGCTGAGGGTGCTGAACTCCCTTCTATTTTTTTTTTTTTTTTTTTTTTTGAGACAGAGTCCAGCTCCATTGCCCAGGCTAGAGTGCAGAGGTGTCAGCCCAGCCCACAACAACCTCCAACTCCTGGGCTCAAGTGATCCTCCTGCCTTAGCCTCCCAAGTGGCTGGGACTACAGGTGCTCACCACCATGCCAGCTAATTTTTTGTTTCTATTTTTAGTTGGCCAGCTAAGTTTTTCTATTTTTAGCAGGGATAAAAGTCTCACTCTTGCTCAGGCTGGTCTTGAATTCCTGCCCTCAAGTGATTCTCCCGCCTTGGCCTCCCAGAGTGCTAGGATTACAGGTGTGAGCCACCGCCAGCCTGACCTCCCTTCTCATCTCTCTCTGTGTTCTCTCTCTCTCATCCAGGTCAGGTCTGTAATTCCATCTCCAGGACCTTACTTCTTGAATCTGCCTCTAATATTGACCTCTCCCCAGAATTCCAGGCCTATTCGACGTCTGCACGTGGATGTTTGATAGGCACATCCTTATGTAAATGGAAGAAACAGAATCTGTGATTTCTTCCCAGTCTAGACTGTCTCCTTTCACATGCCTCCCATCTCAGTAAATGGAACTACTCAGTTGCTCAAATCAAAAGTCTAAGGGTTATGCTCGATTGCTCTCTTTCCATCACTGCCCCCAAATCTAATGACCGATATCCACCAACTCTAGCTCCCAAATGTTATTCTACTAGGTCCTCATCTCTCCTTCTCTGGGGCAGTCATCAGATTCCAGTGGGGCCTCCTGACTCCCTTGTTCCCACCTGGCCCTACACAATGAGGGCTCCATGCATAGCAGTAAGAGTGATCCTTGGAAAATTCAAATCAGACCTTGATGCTCTCCTGTTTAAAATGTGCCAGTGCCTCCTCATTGCACTTGAAACAAAATCCAAGCTTCTTCCCTGCCACCTCCTCCAGCCCCATCTCATCATCCCTCCCTGCTGCTCTCCAAGCCGCGGCCATGCTGGGCTCTTCTTGTCTCCTTATTAGCTTGGGGGTCTTGGCATTAGCTGAACCCACGTTCTGGAATGCTGCTGGCCAGATCATTCAATCTCAGCTTAAATGGCACCTCTCCAGAGTGGTCTTCCTTGAGGGCCCGCCCACTCAAGTGCTTCCCTCTTACCTATGCTAATTTGTTTTGCACAGTTCACATCACTAGCCTGTATTTTTCTCATGTCCTTATTTTCTGTCTTGTCCCCCAGGACGTGAGCTTTATGAGAACAGGGAATCTTTTGTGTCTTTTTTCCCTGCTGTGTCCCCAGGACCTGAGTCAGAACTTGGCATCTGGTGTGTGTCCGTTAAATATTTGTTGAATGGTTGGGTTCCCAACTTCCTGTCTTTCGGGCCAGGTCTTCTGAAATCTCCTTTATGCTGGTCTGCTTTGTCAAGTAATGTCTTATGATCATGCCGCTTATTCAGGGGCACTGAGCTTTGAAAAGATGATGCATATTTAGTGTGTGATTCATTCATTTAAAATTCTAGACTTTTGACTGTAGCCTGTGACTCAAATACTGTAATGGTGGAAAAACTTTCAAATAATCAACCACAGAATATCTGGTTTTTACCAGCTCAGTGGCACATGCGAAAAATAACCAATACTTAGATATAGGGCTCATTATGTTTTAGGTACTTAATGGATATCAACTTTTAATGCTCATGTAACCCTGTGAGTATGGAACTCTTATTGCCCTTATTTTGCAAATGGGCTGAGGGTTTAGCTTTCTAATGCTGTGTGACAAATTACCGTAAACTGAGAGGCTTAAAATGAGCCCCATTTATTAGTTCACAGTTCTGTTGGTTAGAAGTCTGGGTAGACTCCACCTAGGGTTTCACAAACCAGAATCAGTATGCCAAAGGAGCTGCGTTTGTGTCTGGAGACTTTGGGAGAAAACATCCACTTGCAAGCTTGTTTGGGTTGTTGGCAGCACCCGGTTCCTTCACGCTGCAGAGCTGAGGTCCCTATTTCATTGCTGGCTGTCAGCTGCAGGTTGCTGCCAGCACTTAAAGACTGCCTGAATTCCTGAGCAAGTGACCCCTTCCTGCTTTGAGTCTCTGACTTCCTCTTCTTCTTCCAGCCAGAGCAAACTCTCTGCTTTTAAAGAGCTCACCTGACTGGGGCAGGGCCACCCGCCTATTCTCCTGATCTTATGGTCAATTGACTTTGACTTTATCACACCTGCAAAATCCCCTCGCAACAGTACCAAGATTAGTGTTTGATTGAATAACCAGGAATAGGAATCTTGGCGGAGCATCTTTAGACAGGGATAGGTCACTTGAAAATTAGGATATTGATTTATTTCTCAAATAAATAGAAAGTAACCCTGCCTCACACGTGTCTGCAGAATTGGGGAGAACACGTCATGAGTTCAGAGGATGTGTGCATAGAGATGTTTAAAAAGTCATTTGTGGGAATTTGCATGGCCTGCTGGGTCTGTACATGGGCTCTGCAACCAGGCAGCCTGGGCTCACATCCTGGCTCTGCAACCCTGGGCAGGCTCCTGGACCTCTCTGTGCCTCCATTTCTTTGCTAGGAAGTGGGCAGGAGGGTATGCCTACCTTTGGTACAGGCCTATTTTGAGGATCAGAGGTCTTAATACCTATGTGTGTTTAGGAGAGTTACTAGCACGTATTAGATACTCTTACATGTAAACCACCAGTGTTGATGAGAATTCTATGACATGCTAGGATGCACTGCGCTCAGAGGGTGCACTGTCTTTAGAAGTGAAACTTGTTTTGTTTTCCTAATTCAATGCAACTACGTCTTTACAGTGCTGTTTTCTTTGGGGAAGAACATGCAGATGTTTACAAAATCTTTTCAGCAATGTTGAAGTTGTCATCCCTGTTTCCTTTGTGGTGGAATATGTAGGGCCAGCTCAAAGAGAATCCACTCCAGAAAATTCCACATTAAATTAACAATACGAGGGGGGGGGAGAAGTGTTTTTATGCCTTAACGAATGATTTATTATTAATGTATTGGGAATGCCCCCCCCCCCCACACACACACTTACATCCCTTCCTCGCTTTCCAGCCCAAATGAGAAGAGCTGCAAAGGGGAATCAGGAGTTAAGAGTTAGCATTTATGGGATTATCTAACGTAATACTTTATAAGAAGCACACAGTTCCACTGGCCCTCCACGGTGGCAGCTCAAATTGCTACTTTGGGAGCAGCCCTGGCTACGTCTAAGGCCCTGCCTCTGAAAGTCCCAGAAAGCTCCTTGTAACAGTGCTGCTGTGGAAGAAACCACTGCTAAAGTGACAGGAGGGTGTGGCCCCACTTGGAACCTATTTCAAATTTCTTTCACTCATCCCTGGTGTTATTTTTTTTATTATTATTTTTTTTCAGTTCTCCTAGGGATTAGTGAGCTGACTTAATAAAAGTCTTCATAAGGAAAGTAAAACCTGGCTTTCTACATATAGCACAAGCACAAGGACCCATAGCCCCTGCACAGCTCTCAGTCACTGCATTCTTCTCATGGGACTGCCACACCCCTGTGGCCGAAAGACATGCCCCTCATGGGTGCCAGGAGATGTGCTGAAGCCAGGCTCTGGGGCTGCTGCCCAGCCCCCACAAAAGAAAACATACCGCAATGAATTGCACAACAAAAATATCCCTAAATTCCAGAAAACCAGCAGGCTTTGCACTCTCCTGGAAAAAACATAAAAAATAAAACTGCAAGAATAAAAATATTTGTCCAAAGACCGATATGCTACAACTTTCATAGGGAACTCAGAGCCCTTGGTATTGCCTGATGGAAAATGCCCTAATTTTCCTGATAAAAGATCTGAGATGGGAATGTTGAAAGAATACTCTTTTCCCTAGGATAAATCCAGCTGTAAATGATCCCTCCAGGGCAAAGTCTACAACATAGAGATGTGCCTCTGCACCGCCTGGGTTTTCTGTCCTCCTCCAAAATGTGATTTCTTTATTTGCTCTATAACCTTTTAGGGGTGTCAGATCATGGCCTGCAGAGCATCAGGTACTAAGTCACAAAGAGGCTGTGAGGGCACCAACGTTCATTCATGTGGACCTCGCATGTGTCACCCTCCAGAAACCGTGAGTCGGCCAAATGCAATCACAGCAGCACTTACTTGTGGCTTCCCAGGAGGCCGCGGAGCATCACATGGCCTCTGCTCTCTCCCAGTACTTCTCATAATTTAAAAATGCTGGAGGCTGTGGAAGGCTGCCCCGCCCCCTGCATCATTCAAAAGAAAACTGGGAAGCAGAGGCTGCTCTCGGTTCTTGCAAACAAACATTCATCAGCAATTTTTAAAAGTTAGATAGATGTCCTTTCATTTAATTCCTTGGGGCTTTTCTGTTTGAATCTAGCATATTCTTGAAGTCTGAAAGATGGATAGAAAAGATGTAAGCCACTTAAGCCTACCAACAGGGCGCAAACCCACCTAATAAGCAGCTTTGAAGAGATGATGATTGCAGAGTCGTGAATCATTGTATCAGAGGAATGCATGCAGAAGAAAACATGCACTAAGATAGGTATTATTATCAGGGCAATGTAAACCCAAATGCTTTAATGAATAAGGAAATACCTCATTCTTCCCCCTCCCCTGACGTGCCTAGCAAAGAGCAAGAATTTCATACATGAAATACGTTGCAGAATTTCCGTGTGCATTTGAAATTCAAATGCACACAAGGTTCATGCATTTTAATTTCCAGTTGTTCTCAGGACTCCTAAATAAAGCATTTCCCTTGTGTAGGCGATCCCTGGGTCCCATGATGGGACAGAGTGTGGGTCTCTCTGCCAGGGTCAGGAAGGCTGTCCTTCCAGGAAGGCTGCAGGGACCCTGGGAACCGCACCAGCCGGGCTCACAGGCATGAAGAGAATGTCGGGAGAGGAAGTGGTGGCTGTGAGTCAGCATGAGTCATCTCGTTCCAATGAGAATGAGGACTGAGGTGTGCGCCTTTTTTTTTTTTTTTTTCTGTCTTAATCGTGTGGACATCACTGGGAATGGAGGGAAATAAGTGACTGTATGGTCACTGACTGCTTTTTTCAAATTTCAAACTGACATCCCAGGCAAGCCATGCCTGGGCCAATGCCCGTCTTCAGAGCTTCACGGCACCGTTCCCGGGGAAGGTGGCGCCACCAGCTTCTCCCTGGTGAGTATGTTTCTGTCATTTTCACGCTCATTGCTGCAGTTTGCCTGGGAGTCTGGGCTGTGGGCAAGGCTGCTGTGTCCTGGAGGGGACACTGCGCTGCGTTTGGGCTTGGAAGAGCTGTCGTTTTGGAAAAGTGGCTCCCTCTACCCCCACCCCCCGCGGTGGCTGCATTTCAGCCCGGCTGTCGGAGGAGTTTCTCAGGCGTTAGTTGTGAGAATGCAGAGAGAGGCTGGGTGTGCGCTGTGCTGTCTTGGAAGAGGCTGCGTGGCTGCTTGACTGGGAGAGGAGCTGCTTGAGACTCCTCTCAAGAAGCCGAAGTGAGATTCAGAGATGGAAGTGGGTGCACTTGTGCACCCCCAGGGGTGCTGAGGTTGGGTTGGCTTCCGCTTCTCAGAGGTGGAGGAAAGGCAGCCCCTGAGCCATTTCTGGCCGCGTGGTCCCCGCTGCCCAGTTTCAGTGCAAGAAATACAATACAGAGGCAGAATTTCTGGCTCCCTTCTCTGAAAGCTCATGAATGATTCCAGGAGCTTATTTTATGCCCTTTCCTTTTCCTTAATGCTAAAAGCCACATACTGCAGTGGAATCAGAAAGAAAATAAAACTACCCGGGGACTGGGGCTGGGGGGCTGGGGAGGGTTGAGGATGGGGCCACGGAGTCCTTGAGGCCTGACTTTGATCTTGATAGGTATTTCTCGAGCTGTTACTATTCTGATGAATAGTTTTACTGTCAAGTAAAATACAGGAAACATTTTTTTTTAAATGTTCTAGTTACTGTAAATGAAACGGTTAAAATGTCACAAATACCTTATGATAAACATTTTTTCGAATTTGCTTAAAAAGCAGCACACCAGTGGGCAGGCATGACAGGGAGCTTTTTCAGTACAGTCATTTGAGTGTGTGGGCTTCCTGGGCTAATAATGAGTCAGCACCCAATTTCTAAAATCGGAGCCTCTAAGAGAACTTCGGTCTGCCTCCGAGCACAGCACAGTGGCTGGCCAGCCCCCTAGAAAGGTTTGGCTGTTTGAACTTTGGTGAACATCAATTTTAGATGCCTCCCCTGGGTGGGTGCCCGACTCCCAGTTTAGGTCCCAACTCCTCCAGGCGGCGGCTGGGAGTCCCCCGTGCTAAGGGTCCGTCTCCACGTCAGGAACTATGCGCTTGGCATGCATCCTGCGGCTGATGTTGGTGGCTTTTGGGTTCTGCCTTTAGGGAACGGGTTGAGCATGCAGTCTGTTAAATGAAAATTCCAGTGTTCAGCAAGGGCTGGAAGGCCGAAGCTGCATGTAGTGTCCTGTGATGTTCTGCTTACACGTCACCCTCGCTGGGGATTGGGCGGGAGCGTCAGTTGTGGCGTGAGCTTCGGCGTTGGCATTCTGCTTGTGACGCGTCGGGTGGGAAGATTAAGTCGGCTTAAAATCAGAGAGCAAGATTCCAAGGAAGGGGAACCTCCTCAGAACCTTTACTCCTCTTATAAATAAAATGAGATGCATGTTGAGAAAAGTGTTAATCAATGAAACAGCTCGGGTGCAGCAGCCTGGTGCAGCCCCGATTGCATCCCTCCCCCGTTAGCTGTGTGTGGCCTCCCAGGGCTGTTTTCTGTGTTGAGATAACTCTGGGTGGGGTTCACGTTCTCCGGATCACAGGCCCTGACACACCCTGATGCCACAAAGCTTGGATAGCACGATTAGAGGGGCGGCTTAGCAGCCAGGCTGGCTGCCCCAAGTCCTGCGGCTCAGCCTCTCGAAGCCTCGGGCTTCCAGGTCATGACACCAGCTGCCTCCACGGGCTGCCGCGAGGACTCAGTGCATGGAACAGGGCCTGGATGTAGGGGGACCCCATCAGTACTAGCTCTGTTGGCTTCTTGTTTCTACCTGGCCTCTGAAGGCATCTGGGGCTTGCCGCCCTCAAGTTAGCGCCATGGCCTTTTCAAGAAAGATCCTGTGGTTCCAATACAGGCCGCGGTTGTCCCAAGGCTAAGAACCATAGCGTCAGGCATTGCCAAGGTGGGAGACAAGCCCTGTTTGTCTCTCTTGCTGAGTGATTTTTGTAAGTGCTCAGAGAAATGACACCTTCATGGGGACCAGAGCCTGCAGAAGGCGTACTGCCCTAGATGGGGCATCAGAGGGTTGTGGACACCAGCTCTCTTTTCCCCACTTCAGAGAAGGCGCCAGTCCTGGACGTGGGCTTATCACCGGGCCCTGTGTCTTTCCGTTCAATCCTTTTGTGCGCACTGTAGGAAATGGTTTTGGGGCGGCTGATTTCTATCCTAGACACTGAGTGTGTTCTTCATGTGGAACTCGGGCAGTTGTGTAGACGCTGGGAGTCGAGTCACTTCTTACCCGTGAGAAAAAAGCCTGTGGTGCACTGATATTATCACTTTTGTAATCAGGAGAAAGAGTCATTTAAAAAGGCCAGAAATCAGGCCATGTGCACACCTGGAAATAGAGCATTGATTAACCCGTGATTTGCTGCCTTGTCATGTTTTCCCGTTACCGGAGGGGCTGCTTCTCAATGTGGAAGCAGACAGGGGGTAAAGTGGGAAGCAATCTATGGTAAAAGGACATTTACTGCAAAAAATAAAATGCTGACAGTTTGGTGACATTTGGAAGCTGGACAGTGTCCTGTTGTCATGGCGCCCTCGGCCTAGGGACTGGGCCGTGGTTTGCTGGCGCTGGCTGTCACTCTCCACGCCTCCTCAGCACACGGACCTGGGCTGTCACTGCCTCCTGCCCAGAGGTTTCTGCTAGCCGTACCTGTCCCCTGTCCCCACCACCAGTCGCCATGTGTGAGCTCCCCCCTGTGTTGGGCAAGTCACTTAACTCTTCGCTGTCTCACCTGCCTCATTGCGAAGTCGGGATAATCACAGCACCAGTCTTGGGAGTGCTTAGGAAGATTCTGTGATTAGCACACAAGTTACGAGGAGACACGGTGACTATTAAGTACATATTCATTTATTCGGAAATACAACCTGACACTTTGGTATCTGTACCTGGGTCCCTCTGCCCCGAAGGGCATCCATAAAGAATTGACTCTCGTGCCCCGAAGTGAGACCCCTCCTGCGTCCTCAGTTCCACATGGCATGTCTGCATTCGTAGGAAATTTATTCATTAGGTAAATGGGAGATCCGCCTGGGCTCTCTCCAGGAAGACCTGGGGTTCCAGATGTCATCATCATCGTCATTGTCCTCAACATCATCACAATTGGAACAGCCCTGGTGTCCTCCCACCCCAACCATACGGTAGTAGCTTGGTGTGCATTTCCGGTAACCTCCACCGGCCCCTCGCGCCCACACACATACCCACCCTGGAAGGCTGGAAGGATGACAGGTCACTCGGCTCACTCGAGGGCCCAGGATTCCTTAGCAATCCTGGCACAGCTCCGAAGAATGCATGGACGACGGGGGAGCCCCTTGTGCCCGCTCAGGGCAGGAGATCAGGAGGGCTCTGTGTGCAATCCAGGCAGACCGAGGTCACGGGCCAGAAAGCCCGGGACTGCTGGTCTCAGACCTGCCCCGAGGTGGAAGCAGCTGGATTCTGCACTCACGCTTCCTGTCTCAAGCCAGCTACAGTCACCTTCGAGTCATCTAGATTCTGGTTGTTTGAAAATCATCACAGTATAGGGAGATGACTCATACTGAAAAAAATTAAATAAGATACACTTAGAACTTAAACCAAGGTGAACATAACATGGCCTTTACTTGCCAATTCTAAAGAAAACTCAGGACTGTGCAGTGACTCAGAAACCAGATCCACACACCCGTTCTGCTGGGTCCAAGAGACATACCACTGTGTCCTTTTGATCACTCTGCCTTCTCTGGGATTGGCCTATGAAAGCGAAGCATTGGATGCTTTATATGTCTCCATTGTGGGTGTTTGTTTAGGCTTTGGATGCTGAGAATTGTCTGTACTATGTTTGTCAATTGCAGATGGTCCAAAATTGTGGGGAGTTTTTCCTGCAACAGCCCCAGGTACCATAATCCAGAGAACTCCTCTGCCCACAGTGCTGTGTGCGGGGCAGTGCTCTCCTTGGCCCTGGGCTGCAGGGCAGGGCCTGGGCTCCCCGAAGATTCTGGAGGGTTCTGGTTAGATCACAGAGCTCAGGCAAGGAAAAGCCAACAACAGATCAGAAGGGAGTTGGGCCCCCAGGAAGGAGGAGTGGGAAGGATGCTTGGCTGGTCTCAAAAGATTCCTTCTGATTAAAAAAAAATAGATGTTATTGCATTTTGTGTAATATAACCCTCAGAAAAGCTAAGGGCGATGGCAGATCTTATCCATCGTGGTTTTCCTGCTTATGTCTTGCTTTCAGGAGTGATGCCCTGCAAGTGAGGGCTTCCGCTACAGCGGCTTTTAGCCTTTCTCTCCATCCTGTCCTTTTTCAAATTTAAAAATCTTGGAATTTTTAATGATGGCAGAAAATGTATTAGCTGTTCTCACTGCATAAATAATTTACAGAGTGTAAGACAGATGCATGAGTTTCTATCAATTCAGCTATTAATATATAAAAGGAAAATTTATAAAATAGCAGTGGCTCCAGAAAGAATCAGGCTTACTTTCTTTCATCCAGAAAAAGGGTTCTCTTCCCCTAGCTGTCCTGTTCTCAGACAGGAAGCAGGTTGTCCCGGGCAAGGGTCCATAAGCAGCCAGTTCATCTATCTGCCTGCTTTGCCATCCTTAGCACTAGCTTCCTTCTTCCAAGTTGTTTTATGGCTTCAAGAAGGCTGCTGGAGCTCTAGCCATCACCTTTGCATTCCAGACAGGAGGAAGGAGGGAAGTTGGGGCAAAGGGCAAAAGGTTAAGCTGTGTTATAGACCATTCCTAGAATCCCCAGCTGACCCTTTCAGCCAACATCTTTCACTGGCCAACCCTGTCCATAAAGTTGCTGGAGGAGGAAGATGGAGGAGTGAGACAAGGCCCTGATATGATGCAGAGCAAGGAAAGCACAGGGGGGGACTTAGGTCCAAGGTGGAATAGCAGCAAACACCCTCCCCCCAAAACCCATCAC